CGCCCAAGCCGCAGAGCTTTGCCGGCCAGCTGCCTAGCAGCAGGGGCACGGCGGACGTGGTGAAGCACGACCTGCTGCCGGAGTGCAGCAACAGCAACTCGAACTCCAACTCCTGCAGCAGCTACTCCAACAGCGTCAGCTCCGCGGCGGATCTCTCGCTGGAGCCATCGACGCCCGCCTCCCTCAGCTCGCCCTCGCCGGCGCCGTCGCCCTCGGCTGGCAGCAGCAGCAGCCGGAGGGCTGCCAGTCAGACGGACATGCTCAGCGAAATGGTCACCTCGTCGTGCATCTCCAGCGGGGGCGAGGACTGCTCCCAGACGACCACAGACATGACACAGCCGCCGCCGGAGAAGAGCGAGCCGACGGCCACGCCGCCTCTGATCGCCAGCAGCAACAGCGGAGGAAGCAGCAGCAGCGGGAGCAGCAACTACGACGAGGAGGACGACAAGTCGGTGGGCTCCCTGGAGACGCATCCGACGCACAAGCGGCTGCGGGATCTGCCCACGCCCGAGTCCGGGATCGGGGGCAGCCTGAGCAACAGCGAGAGCAGCAACTCCATCGCGGATGGCATGTAAGTAGATTTCCGAGTGGAGGGAGAACTGCCTTTTTAATTTCTCTTTTGCAGGTCTACCAAATCCGTCTCGGCCTGCCCGCCCACCACTGCCTCGTCCGCGTCCGCGTCCGCTTCCGGCTCGGACAGCAACTCCCTGGCCAGCAACGCACCATCGCCCGAAGCTCCAGACTCCCTAGACTCGAGCTCCCCGTGCCCCACGCCGGCCAGCAGCACGGAGTCCACGATGGTGGACACGGCCCTGGCCGAATTCGCCAGCAAGAGCCTGCCCAAGTGCGCCATTTCGCCGATCCTCTCGCAGCCAAAGACCATCCGGTTCCCGGCTGGAGCCGGCGCCGGCGGCAAGGGCGGAAAGCGGCACGACGGCGTCTGCTACTGGGACAAGTGCAACAAGAAGCACGAGAGCAACTCGAAGCTGCTGGACCACATGCAGACGCACCACGTGAACACCCAGACGGGGCCCTTCGCCTGCCTCTGGGTGGGCTGCAAGGTGTACAACAAGGAGTCCTGCTCGCGGCGCTGGCTGGAGCGCCACGTCCTCTCCCACGGCGGCTCCAAGCAGTTCAAATGCATTGTCGAGGGCTGCGGAATAAGGTTCGGTTCACAGGTAAGTGTTCTCGCTAGAGATTCGCAAGAGATTCCTTCCCTCTAACCATGTCTATGCATCCTGTGCTCCAGCTGGCTCTGCAGAAGCATGTGAACAACCACTTCAATGCCACTGACAACGTCAAGGAGAGCGCCAGCAAGCGCACCTCCGATCCCCCCGTGCCCAAGCAGCTGCGGAAGAACGGCAAGAAGCTGCGCTACCGCCGACAGCCCTTCTCAGGTGGGTGTCCCGCAAAGCCATCCAAGACCTTTCTTCAACTTCGTCTAATCCCGTCCAAATCCTTTGCAGCTCGCATGTTCGACTTCTTCGACACGGGCATCATGGAGGGGCTGCAGCATCGCCTGCGCCAGATCAGCACGCTCACCAACGGCTCCCAGGCCATCACCTTCCAGGGCCAGTGCCTGATGCGGAGGCGCAACAGCCAGGGTGGCCACGATTGCTTCGTGCGTTGGTCCCCGCGCGAGATGTAAGTGCCTCTCGACGGATATCTGTTTTAGACAATGCATAATCCCTTTTTCTTCGACACAGAATATCTGACGAGTGGTTGCCCGAGTGTCCGAATCGGACGCGCTGCCACACGAAGGTGGTGCAGATCAAGCACATGCGTCCAGCGGAGAAGACCCGCGTGGACAGCCTTCTGAGTACGGCCTTTAGGCTGCGCTACGACGCCCAGCTCTTTGCCGACGACTACAATGTGAACGAGCTGCAGGAACTGGGCGCGGTGACTAGTGACTGCGAGGATGACGATGAGGAGGACGAGAATGATGAAGAGGACGATGAGGAGGAGGAGGACGATGGCGTCTCTGCGACGGTCAGCTCGAGGACTGCCAGCAGTGGGACCGTGTCCAGCTACCAGCAGGTGCTCAGCATTGCCAAACTGCAGATGCAGCAGCGTCGCAAGCACCCCCGCAAACCGCCCAAGATGGTGGCCACGGATGCTCTGGTGCCCATTTAAGAACCACAGAACAGCAAGCATACGCAGAAAAGCAAAAGTATTCTCTAAGTAATTAAACACACAGAAAAACCAGAAGCGACAAACGAGTAAACAGTGACAACTAGAATAGATTTTCTACGATCTAAGTTAAGCCATCATACCATATGCTATATAGATCTATTAACACACACAGACACAGCCACAGCCACCATCTAGGGTGCAGTGCACCATCCCATAGACAGGGCCCGCTTCGTTCAGTTGCCCCAGCTGTCCCATTTTCTCCATTTGATCGATCATCCTTCGGTCGCTGTTAATTGTACATACATTTATCGCATATAAGAAATCCGAGTCAGAAGATCCTGTGGCCACCTTATCGCAACCCACCCGCGCGTTCGAGCAACTGTTATGAACAAATGTCTTAAGTTGTAACGTCTCTAGTTGTAGGTTTTAGCCCTTAGTTAATTGTACATTTTGATAGAGCCCATAGGGAGTATGGACTATGGAGTACGGAGTGGACAAGACTTGTTTGTTTCTAATGTATTTTTTATTAGTTTATCGTTTATCAACACGTTTTATTTCGTTAGTTCGTTTCGTTCGTTCTATTGTTGTAGTCGTACCTTTAGGACCTGGCCAAAACATCCAACCACGCACACAACCCTCTTCTTGGCTCGGCTCGTGGGCCAACGGGTTAACTTTAAAATAGAGCAGAGAGAGGGAGAGAGCAAAAGCAAAGGCAAAAGGCGGTAGAAGGTAGAAAAAGAAGCAAAGAAGAACACAAGACTTGAAGCATTTACAAAAGCTATAATAAGCTGCATCAAATATTTGTAAAACATTTTGTACTCAATTCGAACAGCAATGCAAACACCATTTTTAAGCCTAGGCCCCGAGACACGATTGATTATCCATTAAGTTAGTGCAAATCCCATGCAAAACTCGTCTCCAAGAGGAGCAGTCTGTACATAATATATTATATATCATTAACTAGTTTCGCTCTTAAGCCCTTAAGCCCCTAAACCTACCTTAAACCTAAACGAATCATTTAGAACCTAGCCAAGGTAAAAATAAAGTTATCGAAAGGAGCAGCAGAGCCACACAGCATACACACACACACACATTAGAGCGATGTATCCTATCCTATCTATTCTTTTCACTGATTTTGCTGTTGGTTTTACATACATATGTACATACATATCTGAACGGCAGACCCATATAAAAGAAAATTCGCCTTAACAGTAAAAGTAATTTATAATTCTTTCTACGCCAATGAATTTATAAGTGAATTTTTAACGTAAGTAAAACCAAAAGCAACCAAACGTAAACTGAATATCGAAAACGAAACCGAAACCGAAACCGAGTACTCAACACTGCCAAAAAATGTAATTGAACAACATGAACCACACAGTTGTTAGGAACGACTGATATATTTAGAGTGCAAGGAGTCGGAGATGCCCCAATGGCAATCCTTTTTCAATATGTTGCAACCATAAAACTGCCCAAAAGAGAGATGTGTATCATAGCTACATATATCATCTGAGTATCTGAGTGTTGTCTGAAGATAGTGTAGATGCGTCTCTGTGCCCCAATTAGTTTTAGCCGATAATTGTATACAAGAATCAAATATATATATATATATGTATACACGAATCTATATGCGACCCCCCCTAGCTTTTATAGAACCTGATGATCGTATGGAAAGCAATACTTTACATAATACTTTATAATCGCTGATCGAGTTTAGTTCTTCCATTCGGTTCCACTTTCGATGCCTTTCACCCAAAATTGTTCAAGGCTTTGTATGGCAACAAAAACACAAGAGAATCTAAAACTAAAAAAAATTACTAAGACGGAAAAAGCGGAAAGGAAAAAGATTAACATGAAGAAGAAGATGAAAATGAAGATATAGAAATTCAAATAAAATAAAACTACCTCAAATTTTTGCAAGCATAGAACGAACACACAAAAAAAGAAGAATTTTTCGAGACAAATTTTCTAGAGCAAACAAAGTATTGTATTGTATGTAGGAACAGAACAGCATTACGAGTATATGTACTATATATTGTATTTAAAGAGTTCAGCAAAAAGTGTATTCAGGAACCGAAAGAACAACAACAACAAGGGAAAGCATAGACACGTAGGACACACATACAAAATGTAGGCTAATTCCATATTTTGCTAATATAACGTACAGTACAGTCTATACGAGTATACAGTGTGTAGGATAAGCCAAACTCCAGTTATCCCGGCTATCAGTTATCAGTATATCGACTCTTTCGTTTGATTTCATAATTTTGGGTGTTTCGCTGCCCTGCCCCGCCCGCTGTTTTGCCCAGTTTTTTTAGTTTCTGTACATAGAGGGACGGGACTTATCCAGTGCGAGATATATATAGACATGTATTCGATATATCATAAACATAACGTTAATATTACAAACCGCTTTAATGAATTGCAGAGGGAACTCAATTATGAATCCATTATCATTAGCAGACGTACTACGTACATATATACCACACGTACGTACGTACGTACGGGTGTGTTTCTGCAGCTAACAATATTTTCGATTATGGCCAAGCAACAGTTGAGTTTACATTCGTATCCGTACGGGCATATGCAGTTGCAGATGCAGATGCAGATCCCAGAGCCAGACCTCAACTGCAGTTGATTCAAATGTATCTAATTTAATCAAAACAAAATATATATATATTATATGAACTATATATACACACAAACAGAACACAGAACAGAACACACGGCATAGTATATACAAGTGGACTCAAACAGACACTGAAACCGAACGAGAACATGTAAACGCGCTGAGAAATGAAAATATATAGAAAGAAAATAATGAAAAAACTTCCAATTATCAGTTTTATTCCGAATACATCCTGAGATATCTTAGGACTCCTGGGCCTTAGGTCTGGGCCTTTTCTTGTTCTTCACCGGCAACATGGACTGCAAATAGAACTTGACGGTGCCCACGTACTCGCTAATGCCGGAATTCCTATCCACGATAACGGCACTCACCTGGTAGAGGCCAAGTGGAAAGGGTGGTACTAATGATGGGTCCAGATAACCATTCCGGGCAAATAGGTGACCCTGTGTAAACGTAGCAGATGTCAGTGATATCTCACAAGGGAGCGCAAGAAACACAACCCACACCGAAATCGGGAAGGAGTGGTTGACGTTTGTGAAACGCTGCAACATCTTCCACATGATGACACCGTAGGGCAGGAAGCTCCTCCTAGATATCACGTCACCTACGTTAACAGACACATCCACCAGGAAAGGCTTCCACTGGTTGCTATAGTCCCTCTTGAAGAGCTGCAACCGAATCTGGCAGAGATGGGCGATCACTTTTGGCCCTGACTAGCTGTCTTCTTCCAGCTTACCACAGGGTTATACAGTGGGACGGGGAGGTAACAATCCATGTTAGCGATGGCCCTAGTCCAGTTGACGGCTTTTAGATTGCAGGAGATATTTTTCACACGCTCCGGGTTTCCGACGCACTCTATGTTTGTCATCTTGTACACCAACTGTTCATCGCAGCTCGCTTCTTTACCGCTGAGGCGGCAGCAGAAGAATATGAGTACCACCAGTTCGGTCTGCATTGTCAAAAGTATCTGTATTCGGTTTGTAAATTTTCTTAATTTTGTGCGTAATCGAATACTAATATATTTTTAATGGCGACAATATCAATAACGTTGATTTGTAGCATTAATAGGAACTATGCATTTATACAATAAATTTAAATGTTGTTTTGAAATAGTATTAAATTTATATTGTAAAAAAATATCTGCTAATATCTGCTATCTGGATCAGATATCGAAGCACGCGAGGCGACAGCACCTTGGGGATAGCACGACCCAAATTGCTTAGTTGCCTGTTAAAAAGGCTATATCCTTTTTGTCCTTGACGTCAATCTAGGTCCAAAGGATCGGGGATAGGGATGGTGGAGCTTAGCAATTAAAAGTTAAACAGGCAATATCCTAGTTGTCTCCAAACGATCGGCGATGTTCGCACGATCACAAGGTGACATAAAATATCCTGATCGGACAAGAAATGGATAAGGAAAGTGAGTATATATAAGTGGGGAAAATATCCTTGATCATTATTCCTTAATAAATAATTCGTGAAATCATGGGGTTTCCTCCGATCACAGGAAACCTTAGAATGCCCAGATCGGACCACAAACAGCCGAGAAAACTACATATGTATGTATGGATAGGGATCGAAGTCCTTATTCATGGATTAAGAATATTTTTCCGATCACGGGAAGCCGTCGTTCGCCCAGATCGTCCCACACATAAGGATATGACCGGAGAAAATATCCCCGATCCTCGACAAGGACTCCATCAAATCAAGGATTTTCTTGCGATCACAAGAAACCGTCGCACGCCCCGATCGGACGAGAAACCATCCTCAATTTGATGCCGCTCAAAACCGAGATTTTTCGATTTTCGGATCTGGGCTACCAGGCGAACAGAAATCAGCAAAAAGCTACTTTAAAGAATGCACAACATGTTGCATACTTTTAGGGTCCCGAAAAATTTTTCAAATAAAAACCAGATACCTTCTGCTGACTTCTGTTGGCCTGGTACCCTAGATAGAAAATTCTCGTTTTCTGCCATTTAAGCGGCCGGAAGATTGAGGCTTGTTGTGTTAAAAAAAATTGGCTAACACAAAAGGCCAGATTGGTTTTCTTGTTTTCTCCGTTATTTGTGGGCCGATCCGGGCGTGATATGGCTTCCTGTGATCAGAAAAATATCCTTGATTGATTTTTGAGTCCTTATCAAGGATCAATGATTGAGGATATTTTCTCCAGCCATATATATCTTTTTTCCTGATCCTCAATGGGAACACTATCAAGGAACGGCATGAGACCAAGCCAGATTTGCGCTCCTATCGAATCTTTCAGAGTGTTGAGCTAAAAAATCAAAAAGCGTAAGACACCCTTACAAAACGCAGTTTTTTTTTGGAAATTAGAAATTACAATTTATTTCATACAATGTCTGTTGTTGGTTTTTGCTTTCTTCGGATGTTGTTTCGAATACACAGTTACAGTTTCTAAAACCTAATCTTCGATTGCATATGGGTAGGTATGGGGTTCGGGTGTATACAGAGTGGGAATACGGGGGAACACATGCTCACAAATAACAATAATAATTCGTGACACAATTTGATCGCATAAATCTAACAAAATACATATAAACGGATTCCACACAGGATTTGCTCGTATAACAATTGGGTTCTATATGGGTTTCTTCGAATTGTCAACCAATGGATCGATCGCACCTGCTCCAAATCCAGCAACCTCCGTCACCACTCCACAAAGTGAACACGACGCGGGCGCTGCAGCTTTGGGGAGCAGCGGAGGAGCTGGGAATGGATCGGTACGAAACATTCTTATATACAAATGCTAATTGTTTAGATCTCGAGGTGTGTGTTGTTGCTTTTGTCTTTTTGTGCATATTTTGTTGATGGTTTTGCATTATTGTGGGGGCGGGAGGCAGGCGCAGTCGGAATGACCACCGCCCCGGGAAGGTGACGCCTCCGCACAGGTCAGACGCCTCCACATTCTCAGCATCTTGAATGCATCGGCGACCGACGGGCAGAGGATGATGTCGCCTCCTCGGGAACGGCGCTCGAGCCGCCTATGACGCCTCTCCCTCAACAAATTATTGTTGGTGCTTGCCGCATGCCACATACAAATCGATCGGATCGCTTGATGGTCTTGCTGTCGATAGGTTATAATTTAATTAATGTGTGTTGCTCACATAACTTCTAATTTGTAGGATTTTACAATTTTTTTTGTTGGATTTTCTCGTAGACTTGAGTTTTGGATGATTGGATGTTCGGTTGTTCTGACTGTTGGATGAGGGTTCCATCTGCAACCGCCGTCTACGCGTTTTCTGGGTTTTGCTTGCACGACTTTTGTTTGTTTGTTTGCTGGTTGGTTTATAATTTTGCTACTACAATTTCTCGTTAATATTTTATACATAATATATATTTGATATATATAATTATATTTCTTTACTATACAATAACAGCGGAAAAAGTGTGTGTTGGTTGGTTGTTGTCTTGCTTTTTTCGTACGTTTTTATAACAACTTCTCATGTTAATATGTATAAGTTTAATGATTTCTTGATCTCTTCTCATTTCTATATATATATATTCTGTATATATTATGTATATCAATACCGTAATTGTTGTATTACCGTCTCTTATCACAAAAAATCATAATTATATATATATATAATTTATTATTATTAATTTTTAATGTATTATTCTTAGAATTGAACAATAATTAAAAATAAACATAGGACTTAGTTACGTTTTTGTTTGTTTTTTGTATGTGTGTGTGTTGTGTGTGTGTGTGTGTGTGTGAATGATTGCATGTAGTTGTAGTGGGTTGCAGTTGACCTTTGTTGAAGTATTGCCAAGTATTACCGCTGTCCAGCCGCAACAGAACCACTCCTCATACTTTAGGACCGGACCCATCTGATGGACCACCCAACTGTTATGAGGTTCCAATCTGCTGCCACAAGAGGCAAGCAGGTGCGCCCAAACAGGCGGAAGGTTCATCGGACGGTCAGAGCGATTTTTGTTGCAGCGGAGCAGCGGAAGCGGATGTTGTTGCTTTTGCTTGCTTGTTTGTTGGTTGTTTTCGGGGCCCTTTCGCTAAATTTGTTCATCTGGTGCGGCCGCTTGGCCACGTGCCATGTGACACATGCCGCAAGCCGCCTACAAATGTACAAGTTTGTTTTGACAATTGTTGGTTGATTCTTTACAGTTTTTCTTTTTTTAACGAACTTTACATATACACTAAACATTATTTAATAATAATAATGGAAAAAACAAATAACAAAGAGCACACAAATGTGGAGCGCAAAATAATAAGATAAAAAGAGGAGAATTTCTTGATATAGCAAAACTCATAATTATTACAACTTTACGAACTTAACTGCAGATTGTTTGTTTTCCTTGTTAAAGGTTGAATTTGAACGGAAAATAACTAAGCTAAACCAGACGCCAGCAACCCAAAGTGGATCGAACAGGCACTGTCCGGCGGTGCAACACGCGGCGGTACCCTTGCAATCCTCGGGCGACGAACTTTATTCTTCTCTTCTCCGTTGAATCTGTGTTGCTATATACAAACGGACGCCGCCGAAACTGCCACCGCAAGCGCTATGCTCTCGGACTGATGTTGCGATTGATGTTACCTGATTCGATTCTTCCGCGGCTGCTGGTATTGCCGCGCAGACTGCTGGGGCTGTTGTCTATTTGCTGTTGTTGTGTGGTTGAATTGATTGATTTATTTCGTGTACAGGTAGATGGCCACGATCAGACCGTAGAGACCCAACACTTCGGCGAAGATGAGAATCAGGATCATGCCGACGAACAATCTGGGCTGCTGTGCTGTGCCACGGACACCGGCATCTCCCACAATGCCAATTGCAAAGCCAGCTGCCAGGCCGGAGAAGCCCACCGACAGACCGGCACCCAAGTGTATAAACCCTCTGTTGGATAGCCACATGTTTGGAATAGTTAGAAGTCTGAGGAGCTGAAGCAGATTGCTACTGAATATTTACCTAAACAGTGTGTACTTTGAGGGCTCATCCAGCGCGCCGGCAATCAGCACAGCCACGACCAGGCCGTAGATGGCAATGATACCCGCCATGACAACAGGAATGATGGATTTCATGATCAGTTCAGGACGCATCACCGACATGGCAGCAATACCGGTACCAGACTTAGCAGTGCCATAAGCAGCGCCGAGAGCTGTAAGAATAAAGAGGAATAGTAGCATTAGTCTAAAGTTGATCAGATGAAATTTTCTCCCAATCGCAGAGCTAACACTGGTTATTCCTAGACAAACGGTGTGGCAACGCTTCAGCTGGGGTGACCCTGGTTCATCTATCTACCTTATGTAAGTAACTTCACTCTTTCTAGCAAAATTTTAGCATTGCCTAAAAATGTAATGGCCATTGTTTCATTTGAGCAATTCTGATCGCGAAACGTAACAGTTAGCAGTCACATGATCGTTTATAACTGACGGTTTTCGATGTAAAAAAAAAACCCCTCGACCCCCCACTCCACATATGTACATTCCGCTCTCCCTTGGAGCAAAATTGTTGTTGCCACTCGCGCTCTGAGGTTTTTTCGCTCTCTAGCTGACAAATTCCGAAAGTCAGGCAAATTTTGATAAGGCCAAGCTAAAGTTTAGACAAGGGAACAAGAGAAAGAGTGGCGTGGCGTGAAGTGGAGAGCGGGACATGAGCGGCGAGAGAATGCCGTGCCAATGATCAGGTAAGTCTCATGGGGGAGCGATTCGATGTATTTCAAAGCATTAATTGAAGTATAAAACCAGTTTCGAATGGCGGTCAATGGTATTTACCAACGTGTGTGTGTGTCTGAGAGTGAGAGCTAATAAATCGAATTAAAACACACACATACAATCGCAATAATGGTAGGCTAAACACTGGTATACTCGTTTATTATGGGTGTAGTGTATTCAGTGCGAACGCAAACAATATCTGAGCGGGAGAGGAGCACGAGCTACAGTAGCGGGCCCTACTCATCGTAGTCATGTGATTTCATGTTAATTAACTTATTTTCCGTCCCAGAGCAAGTTATTTCTACTGAATCAGCGGGAAATTCTTATGAAGAAGACTGGGAAATATTTCCATTCCTTCGATTGTTGCCAGCTACGTCACCGAGCAGGAAAATGGTCGAGTATGGTAATAGAAACCAGAATGAACTTGAATAAACCATTTTATTTCGAATATTCATAAGGTTGGGGCGTTTAACACGAACACGAACACGCACACAGAAATGAAACTGGTCTATTCTATACGAGCATACATATCTAAATGTGCGTAGTTCGGCCCCGCATTACGTTCAATTGAAATTAATAAAGACAAAATTCATTGTAGAATTATTTGGGTTATATAAAAATAAAAGTGGACATCGAGATTTACAATGAATCGACTGATTCACTTTTTCCTATTTTCTATTTGTCCATCTGGAGCAATGTTTCGAGTTCCGACTGTGCAAAGAGCGCAGTCTCAACTGTTATGTGCCCAGTGTGTACACACACAATTTAACCAATATTATCGCTCGCCTGCCGGTGGCATTGACGCACAGCTGTGTATCGATGCCATGCCGCATTTAAATCAGCAAATAATTCAAAAAGTTGGAATGGCATTGACTTATTTGTTTGTTAAGAGCTAAATGCTACTGCTACTGCTATGAATTTCAATTATTCATACATCCACTAACACACATGTACATGCATGCGCATATTCGCATACGTGTGCATATAACATTTATCAAGCGACAGACGGTATCGCAGACGATACTGTGGGCGTCGAGAAATACAAAGAATTGGGAGTGAAAGGAAGGGGAAGAGCAATAGGCACTGGCGACAAAAGAACAAGAATCAACAACAACTGCCAGCACATTCAGAGATAATTATAAAAATGGGGGGAGATAGCGAAATAGTAGAGAAAAGAGAGAAAAAGAGCAAGCAAAACACAGCATCAAGTGAAAAACGAATAAAACAAAAACAAATTGAAGGCGTCACAGTTGAGTGAACGAACAGCAAGGGAGCCGAATAAGAGGAGGGAGAGCCAGAACCGATGAGAGTCGAGAGAAACAAGTGCCATTTTGTTGTAGACAAGTTAAAGTCAAAGGCAGAGGCAGGGACAGAGCCAGCGACAGGGCCAGTGCCAGAGGCCAGAGGAATGCACCAACATGCAAGACAAAATCATGAACAAATTACCTTTGCAGGTGTCCGTCTGTCTTTCCGTCTGTCATTCTCTGTCCTAAAGCTATTTTTTCTGATAATCTTCGGTGCGACAAGAACTAGTAAGGGGTAATAAAGAGATAAGATAAATGTAGAGCTAATTTCTTGATATACTTAAGACAGGGTGTTGCATGGAATTCTCTGGGGCTGGGCCAGGTTCATTGATTAAAATGCAATAGAGAAAGACATGCGCTCATACACGCACACATCGGTCTCTGTTTTTTTTGCCACGTTTTGCTTTCGTTCCCACACAAACACACATATAAAGGTGCATGTAATAAATATTCTATGTACATACATATGTATGTAAAGACAGGTTTATGAAAGTAAATACATGGTCCGTTACGTGTAGGAGCAAATGATGTATTAGGATATCATTTTTTACATAATTTACTTCCCAACCACAAGCGGCCGCCTCTGCTTACTACTGTTCTGTGTATACTGTATATCTACTACTATTTCGGGCACTGCGATTGCGCAGGCGGGCGCAGGAGTGTGTAGCTGTGTGTGCTGTGTCATTGTGTGAAGGATTTTCGTGTCACTCGGTGTATTTCTGGACCCGAAGCACAGAGGAGAGGATGGAGTTTGTAGAATATTCACATCATCTACCGCCTCAGCTTCTGATAAGCGAAAGCGGAAAGCAACGCCCATTGTTCGCTCGCTTCGAAATCGGCAATGAGTCAGTCAGCTGAAAAAGTTAACTGCAGTTGAGAGCTAGCTGGAGAGAAGTGGGGTGTAGGAGAGAGAGAGAGAGAGAGAGAGAGGAGCAACTGGAATTCTAGCTCATGTGATCGTGCCGTAAGTTGGCGTTGCCAGACCGGTGAAATTATCGTTGAACAAAAGCTTAAAATTGATTTATGCTATTGACTTAATTACATAAGCTCTTTGGATGCGAGTGATGATATCTGTGTTGCCGGGGCACGTATGTATCAGCAGCGTATCTACGGACCTACGATGATAATAGGCCAAGCAAACATTTGGGAAAGGCAACCTTCTTCTTGATTACCACCACCCCACAGAACGGCAGGAGCTGGGGGAAGGTGCAAATCACAAGACAAGTTTCCGACGCATGACATAAGAATTGCGTCACAAATGAGTTGATTTGTGAAAAACCATTGCTATATTGAGCGGAAAGGAAGGGGGGGGGGGGGGGGGGGGGGGGGGGGTTGTCGTGGCCACCCTCTTCTTACCGGCTGAGCGCGTGCTACTTTGCAGCTACTCTTTTCATATGATGCCTTGCGACACATATCCACTTCCACATCACATCGCTTCAGCACTTGCTATCTTATCAGCCAAGTCAATTGGTAAATAAGCCACTTATCAGTAAGGTAAATACAGAATGAATGGTCTCTGATAAGCCCGAAAAAACGATCATACCCTAGAGCATGTGATGTCTACAGGTATTCGATTGATCATGCATTCACTGATTTTGGCATGTGATTACCGAACGGGTGGCAGGGGGAGAACAAAATATCTACAAGTTTGTGGACATTACAAGGAGAGGAGGCAAACATTTGTCGGCTAAGGGGAATTAAGTGCATTACAATGTCAGTGTGATTGTGACACGTGCCCCATTTTTGCCTCAAAGAGGGTTTCCCCGCCATTGGAGGCTCCATATTTTGCATCAATCATTATGTTACTCTAACCAATAAATGGAGGAGGAAAAAACTTAAGTATGGCAACACTGTCGTTCTGGTCTTGTGACTGTTGTGTGAAAAGGAAAGCGAGCTTCATAAACTTCACAAAAAACAGTAACTCTTACACACGCACACACAAACACATATGCATCCAATGCCAAATACGAGAGAGTGCGCAGCGAGCGAGAGGAGAGAGAATAGTTGCTCTCCATTATTAATTTGTGTGTGTGTTGTGTCGACGTGTGAGTAATGCCGTTTTTAGCATGTTCAAAAAGGCGAAATTTCTAATTTGGCTACTGCGAATAAAACGTAATTACAAGCTGCCAAATTTCAATGAAAAATTAATACAACCTGCGTGGTGTTTTGTTTCCTTTGTGGAGAAACTAACTTTTCTGGCTAAAACATGGTACATTTTCTGCCAGTCACGCGCATACTAACGCGTGGAACGCTTCTTTGTGTGCGTACGACATCTATCTGTATTCTTGGTTCTACACACTTGCCGCTATTTCGCGGTACACACACACGCATTGGTTTTCTCAGCTACTGGTGCTCCCTGCTTCTCCTACTCTTCTTCATCCACCTTTTACGCCATACGAAATGTTCGATTTTTTTTTTCGGACCAGGAGGATGTTTAATTTTAGTGGATCACACTTACCCGAAAAGATGATGGCGGAGGCTGCGCCCATAACACCGAAGAAGGGGCCATAGATGGGGTTGTCGCTGGTCACTTCCGAAGACATTTTGCTTTATTTTGTGTTTTTTTAGGCTACAAATGAAAAGCGAGATTTTATTTCGTTTCGCTGCTGATTGCACTTTGTTTTCTTTCGGCGTTTTGCACGGCTAAATGTTATGCGCGTTCTTTATATGTAGGTTGTATGCGATGCTTTGAGTCGAAACAAAGTATTTATATTATATATACAATATATGTGTGCTGTATATGTAAAAAATTTCTTTACGCTGCTCTGCGAACCACAATGCTTGCTGCTTCCACGACGAGTGAGCCCGCAGACCGCAAAATGAATCGAGACTATGAAGACGAGAGGAGACTCGTCAGATTATTGAATTTTATCGCGAGAGTTGAGTGCGTTGTGTCATGTCATGTGCCTGTGTGAGTGAGAGCGTGAGCGCATGACAAGAAGTAAGTTCATTTGGCAATGGACTGGAAAAATACACGAACGCACACACACACACACACACACACACAGAGAGAGGAACAGGCAAAGCCAAAGGCACATGGAAGTCCCTTAAGGTTGCTTTCGTTGAAAAAACTTAATACTTTCGCGTTTTTCATATTGTTTTACTGGGTCTTATCCTTTTTTCGTTTTCATTTTGCGATCTCGGCGAAAACTCACACACATACACGATCTCTGCCGTTTTCTCATGATTCTTGTGTGTGTACGTCATGAGGCAGTTTGTACAAAAACTTGTAAAAACTCGAAACAACTGTCGCAGGAGCAATGCAGATTAGATGAACTTTTTTTTTTATTGGACCTCATATGACCCTCTGGTCGTCGTTGGATTTATTTGTTCACACTCACGTGATTAGAAATCTAATTAAAAGCAATGTGCTGCTCTGTGGCTGGCCTCTTCGGGTTGCTGCTGGCTGCTTGGCGACTAAAAGCGGATAACGGCACTGAACTCCAACGAGATATTTTTCGTACCTTTTATAAACTTTAGTCACGGGGCAGTGGTAACGTGCATGTGACCGCGGACCAGTGCTGCCAACTTTTCAACAGGAAAAGAAGCTGTGTTTACTTGAAGATATCGAAAAAAAAGCTAAACATTTTCAGAAACAGAAAAAAACCCTATGTTATGGTTTTAGCAATTTTTAATTGAAGTGATATTAAATATGTTTTTTACAGCATTTCCATCAACTCATGTAGCTCTGCGGAATTAGCTTCAATTTCAGGTCAAGATATGCGGTGTCCGCCAGACTCTTTATAAAAGTAAGCCTCACACCAAAACTTAGTGCAGTTGGTGATGTTTTCTCTCTTTATTAAATGAATATCGTAGGTACTGATCTACTCTAAAATTGCAATAATTCCGTTTTTCTTAGCGTACAAGATTTTGACGTCAACCTGTTTTTAAATTTCTAAATTATCTGGTAGTGGTGGTATTGGCAAAAATCGTTAAAAAATAATGATGAACCTGCCACATTTTAACACTTTTTATGTATTCCCGCTTGCCGCAATTCACAATTTTTTCCTCAGTTGGCTTCAAAAAAAGCCAGATTTGACAGGAAAAAACAAACGCGACAGCCGATGACAAAACGAAATTAGCCCACTTAGGCCCCCTCTATTTAAACAGTTTAACGACTTGAGGTTAATTCTTCTTGTAACCAACAATAGCAATCAAAAACGGTTAAAATTATAACTATTTTCAAATTATATTATAACCTAAATCATAGTGTGTAGATTTACATTTGGGGATTCAGCTGCCTAACTTAATATTTATCCAGAGCTTTCGTGAGCAGCTCGTTCATGTTGGTCAGAAGCACGCGAGGATCCTCCGCAAGTCCGGCCCCAACCATGGCATTGGCAAAGAGCTGCTTGGTAATCAACTTGGCTAACTCGGTGTCACTCTCGCGCAGCTTGTTCAGCTTCTTGATAATGGGATGTCTGAAAAGGCGGAAACCGAAGGATTAAGGGCTGAGGATACAACAGACAACAGAGGTGTCCCACTCACTTTGGATTGATCTCTAGTTCCGGCTGCAGCAGAGCAAAGCGGTTCTGCTCCGGCACCTGGTGGCTTTGGGTGCGGATGAAGTGACGGGCCGCAGCCATTTCTTCCACGGTGACAACGCAGGGATGTGTGTCCAGGCGGGAGGTGGCTTTCACCTTGACCACTTGGCCTTGGAGCTCGCTCTGAATCCAGGGTATCAAGCTGTCCAGCTCGGAGCGCAACAGGCTGCCCTCGCCGTAGTCAGTGGTTGCACTCGGATCCTTCGAATCTTCCCGCATTTCCTTTTCCACCGAGACCAGGTTCTTCTGCTTGTACTTTCCTAGCTGCATGAGAACGAGTTCATCGTATGGTTCGTAGCAGAAGAGAACAAGTTCGTTTCGCTTTTTCAGGCTCTCGTAGTAGGGCGAGGACTCGGCAAGAACTCGGTTCGGCGCAGCCAAGTAGTAAATGTTTTTCTGCTCAAGGCCGACGGAGGTGTAGTAGTCCTCCAGGGACATGCGTCCCTCGGAACCTTCCGCCTTTGATGAGTCGAATCGGAGGAGCTTGGCTATTTCCTCCTTTTCCGCCGAATCGCTGGAAGTGACGATTCCCTCCTTCAAGAACAGACCATAGTCACGGTAGAAGGACTCGTACTCCTCCGGCTGCTTCTTGGCGCGCTCCTGGAGAAAGCGGATCACCCGTGAGGTCAATACGCTGGAAAGCTTGCGAATGATGCTGCTGTTCTGGAGCAGCTCACGACTCAGATTGAGGGGAATATCCTCAGAATCGACGACGCCCTTTACGAAGCGCAGCCATTTGGGCAGCAAGTGCTCGGTCTTGGATTGGATGAGCACCTTCCGGGTGTACAAAGCCACCCCCGTGTTGCCGTCGCGAGACATCTCGAAGAGTCCAGGCTTTCCCTCGGGGAAGTATAGAAGGGCGTGCACCAGAATGGGAACATCGGCGTTGTAGTGTAGTGTGAATCGGGGCACATCAAAGCTGTTGCTGATGAAGCGGTAGAAGTCATGATGCTGCTCCATGCTGATGCTCTGCGGATCCAGCAGCCACAGGGGCTTGATTTCGTTGGCCTGCTTGCCGTTCAGCAGGATGGGAGAGCCCACAAAATTGCTGTACTTCTTGATGACAGTCCGGATGCGGTCTTCGTCCGCATACTCACGGCAATCGGTCTTCAGGTGCAGTACAATTTTGGTGCCAAAGTCCACGTCTTGGACCTCCTCGATCTGGTAGGTGCCACTGCCGTCCGTTGACCAGCGCAGGCCGGGAGCATTGGGGGTGGCAGCCCGTGTGTACACCTCCACGCGCTGTGCGACAATGAAGGCCGAGTAGAAGCCGACACCGAACTGTCCAATGATGTTGGAAATAGCATCAGACGCCTGCTTCTCGTTCTTCATCTGTTCCAGGAACTGCTTCGACCCGCTGCGGGCGATGGTACCCAGGTTGCTGATGAGCTCTTCCTTGGTCATCCCGATGCCCGTGTCTTGGATGGTAAGCTGCATCTGCGGCTTGTCTGTGGTGATGCGTATCTCCAGAGCCCTATCCTTGCTGGACAGTTCCGCCTCCCCAGTGCTCAGGGCCGTGTAACGGAACTTCTCCAGGGCATCGCTGGCATTCGAGATCAACTCGCGCACAAAAACCTCTTGATCTGAGTAAAGGGAGCGTGCCACAATGTCCAGAAGCTGACGAGTCTCTGCCTGAAACTCGTGCTTGTCCACGGGTGTGTCCGCCTGTTTCGTCTCGGTGGCGAAACGGCGGTACGACACATCTAAAAGCATGGCCCAGAGTTATGTAAATCCGGGTTGCGAACCGCCTTGGTAATGGAGACTTACCGGCCGGCGATCGCTGCCATCCCAGAGCCACATTGAAAGCTGCAGCTGCACATCGATTGCTTTGCCTCAGCACTCCACCCAGGCGGCTGAAATGACGCGCCTGAGCTAGCAGTCCAATTGCCCGCACCGACATTTTGTAGTCCAAGATGTTATTTTTGTTCCTAAAAAATTTTTGTTACGTCGAACGTGTTTCCAGCAGACATATACCAAAATATACCATCTCATTTTCAAAATATACTGGAAATATACCGATGAAACACCGAACTTAGCCCACTTAAGCCCCCTCTATTTAAATGGTTCAACTACTTGAGATAAATTAAACTTAAAAAAAGCCACGATATCTTACCCGATCGTTACCTTCGACTTGATACGAGGGGTGCGCGCTAAATAGAAATTGTTTGACAGTGAGCGACAAGGATTCGGATTTGTTTTTCACATTTAATTGTGTCGTTAGGTGTACAGGTCAGGTTATTGGTTAATATGTAGAAGCGTGGGTATTTTAAAGAATGAATGGTACAAAAATACAGGGATATATATATATATATATATATGGGGGCCGGCAGCCTTCTACTGGCTACTGGCTCAGCTCGTACATGATGTGGGAGAGCACTGCGCTGGCCTCGACGTTGCTCATGGCCACACTGGCCAGGTGGGGCTCGTAGCGTTTGAGACTGCGTTTGGCCGTTGACGTGTTTGTTACCAGGTTGCGCAGAATAAGCGCTGCCGTCAGACGAATGCTCTTGGTCACAGGACCCTCGTTCTCGTCCATCAGCTCCTTGGAGTTGGTGTAGTCCGTCGTGTGCCGATTCATGGCCTGCATCGCCGCACTGCCCACCACGGGGGCCGCTACTGGAGCCGGTGCACTGCCGCTGACACTGGCATTGCCCGCCAACCTCTGGGCATGACCTTCGTTCCGCACAATGGTGACGGGCGGTTGGGCAGGCGCCACATTGTGTATGCCCGTGGCCAGGCGACGCTGCACGCTGGCGCGTAGATTGTCCAATGCCAGATGACGATCAATGAGATGGGTCATCAGGGAGTATCGTCGACGAGCCCTGTTATCGCAAAAGGCGGGACCACTTCCCCACTGGCAATATATGTCGGCATCGGCGTCCAGGTGGTCTGGACAGTGGACATTGACGACATGATATTTGAGCTCGTTGAGCGACTTGAACTTGCGCCGCGGACAGTTGCGCCAGTCGCAGATGAACAGCCAATTCACGTCCACGGGTACGGGCACGGGAGTGGGACTGGCAGTGGCGATGGAAGCTCCTGTTGCAGCTGGAGTGGCGTACAGGGGCGCCGTCTGCACCTGGCTGATCACCACAGATGAGGTGCTGCTATTTGCCCCGGCGAAGGCTGTGTGCTCTACTGTCTTGGATTCCGCCAAAACTGCCAGCGGCTTGGCAACCGCTGTGGATGTGGATTCGCTGGTGCTCATTACTATCTGTGACAGCGTTGGCTTCGCAGCGGGTACAAGCTGTGGTTGCAATGGCTTCTTGGTTATGACCCCACCAGACGCGGACTTAACGGCCTCTGGGATCTGAAAGAAATAGAAGATGACGTTAGATTAGAGAAGGTTTTCAATTGAGGAAGCGGGCTACACTCACAACCGGAATGGTAATCTTCTGTTGAATGATGGATGGATGGTGCAGCTGCTGCTGCTCCAGCACGGTGCGGATGTGCTGCTGCTGCTGTTGCAAGCCCGCAACTGCTGTGGCCGTGGTCGGCTGCGTAGTGATGATCGTCTGCGAGTTGAGCTGGCTCTGCTGCAAAGGAGCCGCCGTGGCCGGTGTCTGGGTGATGAGGGTCGTTTCTTTGATGCCACTAAGAAGTATCTGCCGCTTCTCGCCAGAAGCAACAGCAGGAGCTCCGGCGCCAGCCATTGGCGTGGGTGGGCCCGAGATGATGTGCTGCTGTATGATTGACTGGTGCTGCTGTAGCTGCGGTATGGGCAATGTGGCTCCCGCCTTGGCGGCCGCCAGGCGCTGCTGAGCCGTTACCTGTGGCTGTGGCTGATGTAGCTTGATGGTGGCTGGTATCTGGTTGAGCTGCGAGAGTAGGGAGGGTGACATCTGCCCTGCCCCCAGGGCTGGCACTGGCCTCTGGGGCGTGATGAAGATCTGCTGCTGGTGTTGGTGTTGGACGGCGGGGCGTGTCTGAGGCTGCTGGGGGGCCGTGGTGGTAGTGACCAGAACCTGCTGACCCTGCGCCGTGGTCATGATCATCTTCTGCGTGCCCGGCACACTGGCTGCAGACACTCCGCCCGGCTGCTGCTGCAGTATGATGATGGTTTTCGTCTGCTGCTGGGGTGTCTGTGTGACCAGGAGTGTGGGCTGAGCCGTTTGAGAGGGTGGTGGGACGACAGGCTGGGTCTGCTGAGCCACCAGGTAGGTCTGACCTTGCTGATTCGTGGCGAGCACGTACTGCGTTGTCTGCTGGGCCGGCGAGGAGGCATCCATTGAATTTTTTGGCTGCAGGATCACAGGCACCGTCTGTAGGCCCTGGTCCGTCTTGATGGTGGCCGTGGTAGCCAGCTTGAAAATATATATTATATAATATCATGAATCGGTGCAATAGTGACCACTTAAAGTTAAAAACCAATGGGGAAGAAATTTTTCGCCGACGCTACAGCAGGGGATCTGATCCTACTCTATTCTCACAACCAAACAGAACAGGCTCATTGCGAGCCCACCCAAATAGAGAAGCTACCGGTATTAAGAGTATTCCAAAACGCACTTACCGTGTTGGCCAGCTTGAGCTGTGGTGGAGGAGCGGGGGAGGAGCCACTGCTGCCCGGAAATACCAGCTGCCGCTGGGTAGACTGAACCTTGGCCGGGATGAGCTGCAGCTGTTGTTGATGCTGCTGCTGGGGCTGCTCCTGACTTGGCTTGGCCAGTGGCGGAACGTCATCCAAGTCCTCATCTTCCAGTATGGAGGCAGCCAGGTCCGCATACAGATTGGCGGCATTCTTCGAGGGTGTCACCTGGGGCTCCTCCTTACCGGAGGCGCTGGCCTGGTTATCCAGGGCCAGCCGCTTGTTCTGCTCGTCGTCGATGGTCAGTTTCCGTTTGGTGGCTGCCGATATTATCAGAGTGCGTCCGCTGGCGTCCTTGGTCACAACATTCGCCCCACTCAGCGGAGCCAGTGGCGGAGGAGCCGAGTCCGTGACTGGCTTCTTCTCCATTGGCATCTGGGGATGCAGTGGCTTTATGGTAGTCTGTCCCACCTTTACCGGCGTGTGCTGCATCAGAGGGTTGTTCACGAAGGCGCTGATCGCCGTCGAAGTCACTTTGATGGGCTGGTTGGAGGAGGCGTTTGATGCGGAGGCTGTGGTGGGCACCAGGGCCGGGGGCTGGGGTGACTGCAATAGCACCTGTGCCTTTTGCTTCTGCTGACGCTCGGTCACCTTGTTGGCCAGCAGACTCTTGATGAGGGAGGAGCTGGTCGGCGGCGTGGGCGTGGGTGGAGGAGCCGTCTGCTCTTCGGCTGTTTCCATTGGCGTTGAGTCCGTTTGCAGCTTGGGCAGAATGAGAGTTTCCTTCTTGAGAGGAACTGTGGATGGACTGGCCTTCTGCTGCATGGCCAATGGCTGTGCGCGCGTCCGGATGCCCACGTAGTACGTGCCCGGCAGCTCTGTACCGTCCAAGTGGCGCACTATGACGGGCCCCACGGTCTGGTTGAAAATGAGGCGCACTAGGCGAGGGAACTGCATGTGATTGACCACCGAAAGCTTGCCTGCCTTCTGGCAGTGCGACAGGTAGATCCTGTAAAGCTCCTGCTGCTCCAGGCGAAACTCGTGACCGGCGCCAGCCCTCTCGTATGTGGCTCCCAGCCAGGCCAGAGCGTACTGCTCATCGTCGTGTGTGAAACTCTGCGGTGCGGATGGTGGAGCTGGCAGGGCCATGGAGACCACGCCTGGGGGTAGTATAACCTGCGGCAGACTGGGTACTGGCAGCGGCATAGGAACCTGCGGTAGACTGGGAACAGGAAGAGTAGGCACTGTTTGCGGCAGAGGCACAATCTGCTGCTCAGTGTGGGGTTGCAGGACCTGTGTCTGGGCGGGCGTCGGTATGGGCAGAGCGACAGGCGGCTTGGCGACCACTTGGGCAGATGGTGGTGCAGCTGGCGTGGCAGCTGTAGGATTGGTGGCATTCGTGGCCAAGGAATTAATCAGATTCCCCGGGACCATCTCCACGACGCGCATCAAAATGCAACCGTCAGCTCCATAGGTCTGCGCCTCGACGGATATCAGAGCCACAAGCTGGTCGACCAGGCCGCGCACCTGCATCAACAGAGAGCAGGGACGGGCTCCGAGCGAGCTCAGGGCATAGATCGCTTCCAGAGTGAAGATAAGCAGCATCACATCCGTTAGCGATAGCAGCAGCATGGCGCGCTGATAGAAGTCCAGGCCCAGGCAGCGGTTCATATACTGGGAGTTGCCTTCCTTGCCACACAGCTTATATATGATCTCGAGGCAGCTGATAATGACAGCTCGGTCGTTGGAGTCGATTCCTTCGCAGAGTGTGGCCAGCAGATTCCGCGACAACTCGTCCGTAGTGGGGTCCTGCAGCTCAAACTGGTTCGCCAGATTGCCGGCCGTCTCCAGAGCCTGGATGTGGATGTTGCCTGAGGAAATCGATCGTTGTTAAGTGTACGTGAAATGGTTTTAAGGGCAGTAAACTTACTCCAGCGAACATTGGCACCCATGACCAGATACCGCCACAGTGTGCGATTGGAGCCCAAAGGTATTTGATTCTCTTGGTGGAAACTGAGCGCCCGCACGAGCTGCACGATCTGGAGCACGCGCTGGCCCATGCGCTCGTCGGTGCCATTGCTGCGGCGCAGATTTAAAAAGTCCAGCTCATCGCATGCCGCCAGCAGCTCGCTGCGGGCATTGGAGGAGTTCTCCTGCTCGTCCTTGTCCTCTTTGCTGATGAGCCCATTTTCCAGCCAGGCTTGCTCGTCGGTGTAGAGCTCGAGGACCTGCGGCTTGTCGTAGAGCAGATCGCGCCAGAAGTTGTGCTGCGAGTGACGTCGCACTTCTGCGTAGCTGTGCTGGAACAACTTGCGTATGGTGTAGTCCGCATAGACGCCCAAATGGGCCAAAAGTACGTCCAGCAGCTTGGGGCAATCGGCCAGTTGGAGGGTGTGCCGCACTTCGTTGGCCATCAGGGTGCACACGTTGATGGCAAAGTCCTGCTCGTTGGGCAGCGGCGAGAGCAGGGACAGCAACAGCTTCTCGTAGCTGCTGTGCTTGTGGAGCTGTGTGGACATCTTGTACTGCCTTCGGCGGTCCACGTTCACGATGTGCTGGCGTTGATTGTAGGACATGGGCACTGCTGGCAGTGTGGAGTGCGAGGATCCAAAGATGCTGCCCAGCCCGCCGCCTCCTACGGCCAGTGCTCGGGATCGGGCCCGTCCACTACCCATCTCAGCATTCTCAATCGCCGCCTCTAGAGCCTCCATTTTGTCCGGATCCTCGCCAAAGAAATTCAGGCGCTCGTACTTGTCTAGGTAGCGTCGGTAGATGTGCTTGATGCCTGCCGTACCATTGACACAGCGTTCTCTTAAGGTCTCCATGGCACTGTAAACTTCGTCCCACTCGTCACGCATGTTAACCTTGTTGAAACCACCCCGATCTGTGACTTCAGTGTAGAGTTTATACAAGTCCACATGCTTGCCACTGATCTTGGCCGCATGGGTCAATGCAGTGCTGCGGGTGATGGGATTGGATAAACAAACAATGATGATAGATTAAGGGATATTTGAACGGATCAAAATCAATATTAATACCCGCGTCGCTCGTGGAACTGCTGCAGATCACGCCAGAACTCTTCCGGCGCCGACGCAGGTTTCCCTGCAGTATTCTCCGGCGTGAAAGGGGCCGGGGTCTGCGGTTGCTGTTGGTATGCATTTCTGGCGCGCAAAGGCGTTGTTGTTGCTATCATTCCGAGCCCCTTTGCCGGCGACTGCTGCTCGATTTGCTGGGCGTTGTTGTTGTTGCCACCCAAGGCTGCCGCTGCAGGCAGCGACTGCAGCAGTACGCGTACATTATCGATGTTTGAGGTCATGTTCAGCTACTCGCGGACAAGTAACACTTAAGACATTGTTTAAAATAATAAGACACGCAAATGCAACGCAACTAAAATTAGCTTAAAAAATTCAACAAAAATTACAACGCGACGCGGACGCGCTCAGCAGATGTTGAAAATCAGATTTATCGATCAAATATACCGAAAGTACGTCACAAATTTCAAAATATACCGTAAATATACTGACGAATGATTTGTATTCAAGTTGCATCATATTCCTCGATTTTGATATTCCGTCGAATATTACTAGCTAGCTAAGACACTCAGCTCTGAACTCATAGTTTTATCCAATTATTAAATCAGGAATTCGATGCTGATCTCGAGTTGGTATTCTACACGGTTTCAACATTGGTGCATTAGACAAGAGGGTTAACAGTATAAAATTTGCAAGGTGTGTGAACTAGACATGGTGGCAAAAAAATCAGTGTGACGACCCTCAGAAATATGTAATCCGAAAACACACATTTTTAAAATATACCGATGAAAAACGAACTTAGCGAACTTAAGCCGCCTTGATTTAAACAGGAAAAAAAACTTTCATTCCTTCAGCGACTTCCGGGCGGATGTAATAGATCGGTTTGAGTTTGAATTACAAGTAAACACGGAATCCAAAAAAACCTTAATTCGATTTGTTTTCTCGTTGGCGTCGGTCCGTGCTCCTCTATGTTTGATAATAGGAAATCGATTCACTCCCCTTAAAATTTGGCTGAAAAATGGGATAACGTAGGAATTCTGATAGAGCCGTGCAAGGAGATACTCACTCAAAACTTATCGGATATAAATTAGTAGTTTAATATTTATTTTCGCATTTTACAAAATAAAGATCCCGTCACCAGCACTCATTATGATAGATATAATTACGGTCGATCTGAACAGGAATAAAAATATTAGCCCCTCCTCAGAGCTAACATTCTTTATACTTGACGCACTTCCAGCAACATTCGGGGTATGTCGTCTCCGTATTTATGCCATCAGTTTCGCACTCAGCGAAAGTGGCTGGCTCTTGGCAGCTGGAAGGATGAGATTGATGTTCGGTATTCGAACTGAACCAGAAATACAATTGCGGGAATACTTACTAAATAAGCTGAGCTGTTGGCCTATAGTTATATAAAATACAATTAAGAATTCCACAATAAGCTCTCGGCTTCATCGTGAAACCCACCGGTACAGTGGTATTATCAAATAGGTTTTTATCTTCAATATGGCATATTGTTTTATCTGAAGAATACTCGTACGTTTTATAACTATAAGTTACATAATGTCCTGGACTATCCCACCAATACGACTGTCCTATCCAGTTGGAACCTATTTTGAGGACGTAATACCTATTTCTGGCATCATGGTAAGTTACCAAGGTATTCACGACCGAAACGCCCACCAAAAGAATGAAGAGGTTCTTAAGGATACTCATTATTAGGCTCCTCTTTTACTCAATGAAAAGGCCTTTAGCTGAGGCTGCCTTTTATAGAACAAAATGGCAAATAAATTCTGCAGCTAGAATTGGGAGACCACTTGCGACTGCCATGAAAACTAAGGCTTAGCCTGCTCAACATGCTGCAATTATAACGAATTGGATATAATAAATATATTTCCTGAGAAATGTAAGCGGATGCCCTTCTTTTGGCAGTTACATGATCCGTCAAATTCCAACTAATAATCGCTAGCGAAATGCAATTCCGTCGATCACATATGTACATGAACATATATAAATTGTTTTTATTAGAAGCCGTGAAATGAAATATGGTTCTGGTGCTCTGGTGATTCAGCTGCTTGGAATGCCGGCCCTTGCCAGCATGAACTACCGATAATGTATACCTATCTATCCTTTGAAATATAATTTGTGGCAGTTCCTGTTGAACTATCCTGTCCTCTGCAGTTCTTGTTCTGCATAGTGGTGAAAAAGGGGGAGAATACTAAAAGGAAAATGTCTTTGGCAATGCTTAAATCTCTTTTGACTGCAAAATCTGCTTTTACTTTCCGTATAGAGATAGAGATACGCTGGCCAGAAGAATCGCGAGGATTTAATAATGTTCTGATCAGTATTCATAACAAATTCATTTCAAATGAAAATATCCAATGCCTCCAGTAGTAAAATACCAAATTGGTTGTATTTAAAACTTTTTGTTAATCATTTCATAAAATGAAATGTGTCCGATACAATTTTCGTCTCTCCATTTGTGCATATTCTGCCTCCTGTTTTTGGTAAGTACCAGGGGTTGCTGTTATCATTCCACCATGCAACCTGACACTGCCCAGCTGAAGGAATTCCAATTCCAGATGATCCACAAGATGATCCGCTCTACATGGAGCTCACGGAGCCCATTGAATGTAATGTTTCCAAGATAATAGATTCTAGACAGCGGCACCGAGTGAGCGCTCAATAGCATATAATATCGATGCTTTTCGGAGCATTCACGATTTATTGAGTTATTTATACATATTCAACTACAAGTACGCTAAAAGTAGAAGAGGGGAGGGGCGAAACAAGCTTAATTGGTAATTTTGCCATTCTTCAAAAAGTTTTCATCATCTACGATCGTATAGCGGTTGGTGCGATATGTGTCCAATTCGAAGATGTACTTCTTACCGCAGTCCTTCATCAATTTAAGAATAACAGGCTTGATATTATCTATGCCTGCCATACGAGCCAGCTCGTTGTAGTAGTCAAACTGAAAATAATGGCCAAAAACAAGTCAATAGCGTGCAGGAAGGAGGATCTTATGTGTCAGGCAATGCTCACCTGTCGCTCGCCCATTTGATGGGCCTTTTTGCGATTGTAAACGCCACAGTCCCACCGCTGCCCAATCTCCTTCTCCAGCTCGGCGATCATCTGCTCGCGCGGCGGCAATTCGCGCTGGCCCGTGAAGAACTTCAGCGTGAAGCGGACTTGCATGTCAAATATGTGTGTGGGTATCACATTGAAAGGCAGCCCGATGAAGGCCATCGTCGGATTGTTGATGTTGATGCAGTGCTTCCATAGGGGCTGCACAAAGTTGTCTATCACCTGAATGCCAACGTCCGTGCTGAGGCAGGGGAATGTGTACTTGTAGCCGGTGCAGAACATTACATGGTCGAACGACTCGCTGCTGCCGTCCTTAAAAAGGGCGCCATTCTTAGTGAAGCGCTCCACATCGGTTTTCTGCGTCACATTTCCCATGAACGCTGTGTTCGGCGTAGTGGCTAGGTGGTGGCTTAAGTAGACATGTTTGGCTTCCACGCGGACATGATTTGTGATGTCCATGCCACTGGGACCGGCGCCAATGATTAGCACCTTATCGTCTGCAACGATGCAAAGAGAGAATTTAGTTATATATATGATATGATATGATATGATATACACTCGTTTTATATGTATGTATGTATGTATAGCTCGCTCTCTTGCTATCAGTCGCATCCACTAAAGAAACACGTGCATCGGACTACGGCTACCCACAGAAACCCAAAACACTCATTATGTCACACACTTGACTACGGCGATGGCGATTCCCGTCAACAACAGTCCGAGCCGAGCCGAGCAGAGCCTTATCATTATCTCCTCTTTAGTCGAGAGTGCCCCGTATTATTTATGAAGGGAAGACAGAAGTGGGACTCTGCCCAGACCAGACCAGACCAGGCCAGACTGTTGTTGTTGAGTTGTTGTAGTTGCGAAAAAAACAAAGTATTTTGCGTCTCCAGATTTAGCATTGAGTGCTGTGTTGGCGAATCTAAGAATCACTCTTACCCTTAAACTTGTCCGCCGTGCGATACAGGTGACTGTGCATCAGCTTGCCCTCGTACAGATCCATTCCCTCAACATCGGGCATATCTGGCTCCGTGTAGTGGCCGTTGCAGACATAGACAAAGTCGTAGTAAACCGGATCGCAGGTGTTGGTGTTGTGGTCCCAGATATAGACCTGCGGGTAAACAAGAAAAGTCCCCAAATATCAATAAAGTTTAGTAGGGTGGCCTTCATTGCAGTAGGGTGGGCTATGCGAACGAAAACAAATCCGAATGCTGCCTGTGACGTCGGTACCAACCTCCCAGTCATCCAAACGAGGACGCACTCTTATCACCTCGTGCTGGAGCTTGATGTGGGGGCCTAGCTTGAAGTGTTCCGCATACGAGCGCAGAAAGTTCAAAACCTGATGGGATGTAATGAAGGAGTCCTCGATATCGTTGTCGTACGCATAGTCAGGATACCCCATCACTTCCTTGGGCAGGTTTGTCCTTAAAACGAATAGAGTTTAGCATTTCTTCATATGTACATATCTCTGTCCGAAAGTCCTATCAACCTACCGCAATCCCTCGTACATACTGCTGTGAACCTCGTCGTAGTCATTCTTTGGCATTTCCTCGGAGAATATCCAGGTGCCACCGATCTCCCTGCCCCTTTCATAGGCCACCGCCTCCAGTCCCGCCTCCAAAGAGTTTTTCAAAGCGCACAGACCCGCAGTTCCAGCTGAAATTTGACGATTGAAAACGATTCAGATTGCCACAGATTGAGCATTGGCTCTTACCTCCTATTACACAAACGCGACGTTTCCTGTCCACGGGGTTCGGGTTTTTGATCATTTTAACGAGCAGTGTTTCTCTCTAAAAGGTTAAAATAAATTCCTGAAATAGCCAAGTTTTAATTCCAGCACGTCTGGCTCTGCGTCTCACCATTGACTAACTGAGGGGCTCGAGCTTTCACAGATAGTATAGAGCTGGAGAGGCACTATTCTATGGCTATGCCCTGCACATTGTCGGCGAGTCGAATTGCTTGATTTTGTGAGGGATTTGGCCGGCAGCTGATAAGGCATTGGCATTTATATTGTATTGCTCTGCATACTATGATACTATAGGGGATTGCGCGAGGCGCCAACAAACCCCTTCGTTGTGAAAGTAATCAGTATCAGTCGCTGTTGTCAATGACATAACAACGACGGCGACGTCGGCGTCGACATCGGTGTTTCGGTTAGTATGTCTGTATATATGTATGTAAGTATGTATGCCTATGACGAACATCTGCCTGATGAGA